GTTGAGCTATAGGCGCCGAGCCTGCAGCCCCTAATTTTAATTTCATCATGTTCCTTCTGGGAGGAAAATTTGTCACATATTCCTTTTCATATCATTAGAGTGAATTAAATGTCAGATGGGGAGGCCAGAAAGGTTTGTAAATCTGTTTGGTCTCTTTGGAAATTAATACAGACTATTGAAATTACCAGTGTTAACTGCGTATTCATCATCTTTCCTGTTTGGTTCTCCTCCCCACAGATAAAAATAATGTAAACCTTTATTATGAGTATCATTATTATTTAAGATTCTTGAATGACATTAACATTTATAAGAACCTGCTGTCACTTAAATGTACTTGTATGTTGGGTATATAAACAGGGACCTTAAAACATGCATTTGCATGCATTTTTGTTACTCAGAATATGACAAAGTTAAAATAATGGAAATTGTTTGGAAAAGCCTGAGTAGTTGATGAAGTGCCTGTCAGCTTTCCTTACTCTGGGTTATTCCCTCCAGGGTCCTATCCAGGGACAAAGGTAGGTTTCAGACAGTCCTTCCAGCAAGGAGCAGGCCCAGGGGTGCTAACCTTATGTCTGTCAGCTCCTTGGCAAAGCCTTCACCTGACAGGTTAGCCTGTTTGCCACTGTGCAAAATGAAGCTGCTCTAGGCAGGACCTTCCACCTCAAGACAAAGTACTTAGGACCCTTAGCAGACAATTACCTACCAAGAATCAATGATGTGTATAGAGTACTGTGCTGCGCCATTCAGAGTATAATGGCCCTTAACTCCAGCTAGGGAGTCAAGATAGGCTCTTGAAAAAGCTAGGTACAGTTTTGGGGCAGTGAAGGAGCCAGGTGTCATTCAATTAGAACGCTGTTACTCCTTTCCCAAGGTTAGTAATCCCTGAGAGTTGGCCCCCGTGTGTGTATGTGGGGGGGGGCGGTATGAGGCAAATGCACCTGCCTTCAGGTCACTGCTGGGAACTAACACTCAGGGTCTCCTGTGAACAAGTCCCATTTGTCAGCTGCATACGCTTTCCTCTCTTACTTTCCTTACACTACAAGTAATCTGGATGCTTCTCTGACTGCACAGGTTTTAACTGGAGTACACACGGTAAGACCTACCTAGCCCTGGGGGACTTAAGGGAAACCAGCATTTGGCAATCACTGGGGGGAAGAAAACCAACATGGAGTAGCTCTGGGAAGTGGATGGTGACCGTGGGGAAGCAAGGAGACTGCAGGGAGGAACATTGAGTTATGCTCCTGAAATGTGTGCAGCGAACTTGGTGCTGGAGGCTGATGTGGAATGGGCAGCTGTAGATCAAGTACCAAGCCTAAGGGTCCTGTTGGGAATCCCGCAGAGGAAAGGAGCTCCCTGAGGCAGTGGCAGGAAAGGGAAGCCATTGTCGTGGGGATCTGGTGTGGGGGGCGGAGCAAACTGTGTCTTTGCCCTTTGGCAGCTCACCATCCAGGTGGAAACCACATCAGCTTTCCCAGGGAGCTGGGAGGCGGTAATCCCAGGCAGCCAGGCAGAGAGTGGGTTGTTGCTTTTCCACTTATAACTTCCCCAAATTGGAAATCTGACTCTCTGGAAGAGAAAAAGAACATGTCAACATTTTATTTCACTCACCAATGAGGAAACCAGCAAGATTGTTAACTGATTCAAAGGGTATTGGAGGAACACTTGTTTATTGGCTTAAAAAAGAATGTTAGATTAAGATTGCTAGGTTGTGGCTCAGTGCCTGTAGCTCAAGTGGCTAAGCACCAGCTACATACATCTAAGGTGATGGGTTCAGGTCCAGCCTGGGTCCAGCCAGGGCCTGCTAAACAACGATGATGGCTGCAACCAAAAAAAAAAAATGGCCAGGCCTTGTGGCGGGCGCCTGTGGTCCCAGCTACTTGGGAGGCTGAGGCAGGAGACTCACTTGAGCCCAGGAGTTGGAGGTTGCTATGAGCTGTGATGCCACAGCACTCTGCCCAGGGGGATAGCTTGAGGCTCTGTCTCAAAAAAAAAAAAAAAAGATTGCTAGGTTGTAAATAAAGCCAGGTAACATCCTGCAGGGCAACAAATCCATAATCTTCCAGGTAACATTTTCTACCATTCAGAAGTCTGTAAGTTCATATGTAACTTCGCAGTGTCTGGGCTCTAATCAGATAGCAGACAACAAAATCAAACGCAAGTACTCCCTGCTACACTAAGTGTCAACTAATCCTGGGGCAGGGAGCTTGGTGACTTTGCTTCAGTAAGAGCATGTCCCACCTGCTCCTCTCCCGCCCTCTCCCCTTCCCGCCCAGCGGCCTCATTTCTGTGCTAAGATTGAACCCCAGTTCCTTCGCTTACCAGCTGTGTAATTTGAGCAGATAATTACCTACAACTGGCTTTACTTGCGGTAAATTGGGAAGAGCAAATGAGATAGATAGCTTTTGTTAAGGGCCTAGCATGTTATAGGTTCTCAGTAAATCTCAGTTCTTCTGTTTACCTTTCCCCTTTTTAAAACTGAAGAATTTTTGCCTTTTGTTTGGCCTTCGTAGACAAAGTATGCTTTGTTTTGAGAACTCTCTGCGTTTGTTTCCACAAATGGCGAGATGTTGCTTAAGTGAAGACAACCTCTTACCTGATTTTTTTGTTTTCCTTTTTTTTGAGGGTGGGGATGAGAGTGTTTCTTGTTTAAATGAAAATACTAGCTTTGCCTCCTTTACGTGGACAGCTGGCTCCCCAAGTTATCCTTTGTGAGGCCCACTCAGTAAGTACTTCAGTGTCTCTGTGTCGAGGCTTATGGGGAGAGGGGAGTATGCCCAGGGGCCTTCCAGGTACTCTCTTTACACCCCCTTACTTGGTAAAGGGAAGCGCAGGTGGAGTCAACAGAGATGCCAGGGGTGTCTATGAGCTGTCCCTGGTACTGGCGCTTATTTATGACAGCCAGATTCAGGTTTCTGGAGAACACATTCTTTCCCCTTCTCCATAATTCTTTGCATGGTCACCTGTGTGCTGGCCTTGGCTTTACCTTATCTACAGAATACAATGATGGTGGGAAGGAGTGTGGTTTCTTCTAAGAACAATGGAAAGCTCTGGAAGAGGGCTAGAGCAGTGGAATAATGTGTACTTATTCAAAGAAGAGAAAGAAAAGAATAAGCGTGACTGTTGTGTGAAGGATTGAGTGAAGGGTGGTAAGCATGGGAATACAGGGAGCCCAGTGAGGTGGCTTTTGGAGGGGTCGCTAGTCATGATGGTGGTTGGCAGGTAGACCGAAGGATGCTTTCAAGATTAGCCTGGGTTATGGTGGACCCCAAATTTGGAAGAGGAACTTTGATTTTTGCAGCTGCGAGGGAGCTGTTGTGTACTGGTGAGTTTTTGAGTGAGTGCGTGTGTGCTTGTGAGTGTGAGTCAGTGTATTAGAGTATGGAGTTCGTGTGTGGGTTTGTGAGTGCGCAGGAGTGTTTGAGTGTTTCTCCCGTTGGAGTGTGTGACTGGTCCAGTGGCCTGAAGGCCAGGGCTGTCCCATGCAGCACAGAGTAAGCTGGGGGAAGGCTGGTGGCAGAAGGACCAGCTGAGAGGGTGGTGCAGTTTGATGAGAAAAGAAGGCCCAGAGGAGGCTTACTCGGCTAGCCATGGAGAAAGACTCTGCTGGGCAAGTCCTGTTATTTGTTCTTTTATTCTGTATCTGGGATGAGTACAACTGAGGAGTGAAAGATTACTCAATAAAAGAAGTCACACTCTCTAAATTAGCCCAGTTGGATTGCCAGCTGAGTATTTTACCAGTCTTAATTTGAAAAAAAAAAAAATTGAACCTCACTTAACTTAATCTGTTTGATTCCTGTGAATGGAATACTATTAATCAGGGTTGAGTGATTCTACCGCAGGCTCTACCCTCCCATCAAAACTGCTCTCCCTCATACACATAATTCATTTTCTTTTTTACAGTTAGAATTCTTGAGAAACTCATTGTATTTTTTATTCCCCCCCCAGGACATCTTTGAAGATGCCTTGGAAACCGTCTCTATGTGAGTAATGTAATAAAAAGTATATAGTAAAGAACAATCAGTTATAATATTTTGTATTATAAAATATAAATGCAGTAGAACCTCTGTAAGTTGACCACCAAAGGGAAGGGACTGTAACAAAGTGGTCATCATACAGAGGTGGTCAACATAAGGAACTAGGCCTACTGTGCTGATAGGTACATGTGGTGCACATCTGGTCTATGAAAATGAGGTCAGCTTAATGAGGTGGTCAGCTCTGGAGATTCTATTGTATTTCATTCTCATTTTTTTGAATGAGACAGTAATGGCTACTGTCTGAAAAAAGTCCCTTCTCTATCAGGGGTGTCCAAACTTTTGGCTTCTGTTTGCCACATTGGAAAAAGAAGAGTTGTCTTGGTCCACACATTAAATACACAAACACTAAGGAAGGCTGAAGAGCAGAAGAAGATTTGTGCATAATCTTCGTGATATCCTCCACTGTAGATAAGCAAAAAGTCCCCACAAAATCCACATATAGCCCATGGGCCACAGGTTAGACACCTCTACAAGAGGTTGGGATGTGATTATGCTTAAGAAAAGCTCTATCTAACATTACTATCATACATTTTAGAGTATTATTTGTGACATTAATTTCATTAAAACATTTTCCAACCAATTATTTTGTTTATAATTAATCTTTTTTTTGCAGTTTTTGGCCGGGGCTGGGTTTGAACCTGCCTCCAGCATATGGAGCCAGCGCCCTACTCCTTTGAGCCACAGGCACCGCCCTATAATTAATCTTTTAATACTTGTCCAAATGTATTTACATTATTGGCCTCATATTGTAGATTTTTGCTTTTGATTTGCCCTTAATCTTATTACAAGCATTTACCATAAGACTTTATAGATTTTGTAATAATTTTAAATGACTAAGTCATATTATATCAAGTAGAATACCACAATTAACTTATCTACTTCTCTATTGTTAGACATTTAGGATGTTACTGGTTTAGAGACTTAAAGCAAAGTATTGAATATTTTCATATGTATAGCTTTGTCATATTTTGAATTATTTCCAAAGGGTATTGTTACAAATGGATTACTTCATTAAAAGGGGTGAATATGTTTATCACTCTTTATATGCCGTATCTTGCTGTGTATAATGTGTACTTTTTTGCCCAGATTTTTAAGGGAAAAAATGTGTATTGTATATGGGTACTTCTAATTCTGTATCTAAATGTTTTTAATTCTTTATGTGTGTGTGTGTCAAAAGTATAACTCTAGACATCTGTATGCAAAATAATATCCTGGAATATAGTAACTGTACCTGCTCCATACTTAACTGCCTGCCCCTGCATCCGGCAGGTACCGCAGCTGTAAGAGCCTCTATCCCACAGGAAATTATACCTACCCGACACGTTGGGGGTTTAGATAAATCATAGGCTCAGAATTACAATCCATGGGCACAGGTACCCCAGAGCTTTTGTTCTCTGCCAGGTACTTTCACAGACAGAAACTTAATGGACACTGAGGTCAAGGTCACAACAGCAGGCAACTGAGGTCTCCCAGACCCCAGCTCAGGGATCTTCCTCCTGAAGGCAATGTCCCAGGGGCCTCAGAATGGGGCCAGCTGTGCAAGAAATTCAGCAACTTGGAAAGGGCAGGGGCCTACTAGGAGGAGCCTGGGGCAGGTAGGGCTGCTTCCTGACACCACCTTCCCAGGAAATTAGCGCCATCTTTAAACATCATCATTTTGGGGGATAGAACTTCAGCATGTGAGTGCATGAGTAGGGTAAGGGGGGGACACAATTCAGTTTACAGCACTTCCAAAAGAGCTTTGTCAGTTTACTTGACTACAAATATTATATAGGTGAAGTGTGTTTAACTATAACATTATCATCACTGGGTATTATTTGAAAAAAAACTTTGCTATTTAAATAACTCCTAGTATTAGTGTTTTTCTTTACTATCATTGTTTAACACGTTGCATTTCCTTCTGTATGACTTGTAGTCTTCTTTTGCCTGCATAACTTTTCTCATCTCCTTTATGTACTTAACGTACTTTAAAGTATATGTACCCTAACTTTTTGTTATATTTGCTACAGATAATTGTCCCCAGACTACTATTTTTCTTTAATTAGGAATACGCATTTTAATTTTGTCGTACAGTTATAGTGTTTATGTTACTGAGCGCTCATATGATTTTTTTTTAAAAGCCTAATTGTGATTAGGATTTAAAAAAAGTTCTTTTACCTTTGGAACAGTTTCAGATTTATAGAATTTTTGTGAAGGCAGTACAGAGAATTCCTGTACACTCCACATCTCTTTTTCCCTATCATTAATTTCTTAAGTTGGCCTGGTACATTTGCCACAATTAATGATGTAAATGCATACATTATTATTATTAACTATGCTCCATACAGTATTTGGATTTATTTGGTTCATGCCAAGTGTCTTTTTTCTGACTTGGGATCTTAACCAGGTTACCACTGTACATTCAGTAGTCGTGTTTCCTGAGGCTCTTTGTGATTGTGACAGTCTTAGTCTTTCCTTGCTTTTGATGGCCTTGACAATTATTGTATAGAATGTCTTTTAATTGGAATTTATTTATTTCCTCATGTTCTGACTGAGGTCATGTGTTTTTGGGAACAAGACCACAGATGTAAGGGGCGGTTCTTGTCACATCATAGCAAAGGTCCGTGATGTCACTGTGACTTACCACTGTTGATGTTGAACGTGGTCACCTGGCTTGAGGTGGTGTTGGCCAGGGTTTTTCACTGTCAAGTAAATCTCTGCCCCTTTCCCTTTTTACACCGCGCTATTTGGAAGACATTCTATTTATATGATTTTTAAAAAATTGTGTTTAAGGTTAGCATGTTATCACCATCTAGAAATCTAATCGTTCAACCCTGCTCCTCCCTGGCTTTTGGTCCAACCTGGGTATTGGCAGGAACTGAGCTTGGGCATAATGGGAGACTGCAGTCCAGGTGGTGAAGGACTGGGCTGTGGGCCAGGAAAGGGAGTTCCCCAGTGGAGGGACAGCTGTTCCCATTGAGCTAGAATGCCAGACAGTCTGGGAACGGGGCAGGCCTTGCAGAGGAGACCCGGTCTGGCTGATGTGACTGACAGTTCCCCTGAGCAGTGCGCATGAAGCTTTGTGTTTCTCTGAGCTCACAGTGGCTTTACCTTTGGGATGTATGAAAAGCACTGTGAGTAGTTTCTAACACCTATTAGTTTTTAAAAAATCAAATCATAGGAAAAACCCCAAGAAAACAGAGCCCCGAATGTAACATAGAGGAAGTTAATTTAGATTCCTATCTCACACCAGTCCTAAAATTGCTAGCCCCCAGTTCTAAAACTGTTTGCTAAGTCCACAAAGGAAAGAATTTATGTGTGATACCTCCTTTATCAAATGAGCTGATTAAAATACCACTCTGTTTCTGAGCTTTCTCTTCTGTTCCTTTGATCTGTATGTCTGTGTTTGCATAAAATTGACTCTTTTGTTCAACTGTTGTAGATGCTTTCATATTAGCATGACTGGTTCTCAGAACAGCTTCCAGAAATGACTCCTGTGATGGAGAAGCTTTTATTTGTGACTATCATAAACCACTTCATGTACTTTTATTATTTTTTAAAATAAGTGTTATTGTGTATATTTAAGGTATATGACATGATGTTATAAAATACGTAAATATAGTAAAATAGTTATTATAGTGCAGCAAATTAACATATCCATCATAGTTATTCATTTTTTTCCTCCTGTGACAAGAATAGCTATAATTTACTAATTTAGCAAAAATCTTGAATATAATTAACTACACCCTTCAGGTTGGATATTAGATTTTTCAACTTGTCCATCTACCTTTGCTAGAGACATTTCTTTGTTTACTTTTAAAGTGGGGAATTCTGGCAGCCTTGTGTGTGTTGACTTATTTTATTCTGCTGTCAACTATGTTACAGTTTTTCTCTTCACTTTCTAACTTTCTAATGATCCAACATTTTATCTTCATTACCACCTGAGGCTCATTGTGACTGCTTTTATCTGTCAGTTCCCTCCTTCCCTCCATCCCTCCCTTTTCTTTCTTTCTTTTTTGAGACAGTATCTCACTTTATCTACTGGGTTGAGTGTCATGGCATAATCACAGCTCATAGCAACCTCAAACTCTCCGTCTCAAGTGATTCCTATGCCTCAGCCTCCCGAGTAGCTGGGACTACAGGTGCTGGCCACATTATGGAATGTCTCTTAATTGGAATTTATTTTTTTGGGTTTTCTGGAAAAATATTATTTCTGCAATATTTTTAACCTCAAAGAGGTTTAGTGATGCAAGAGACAGACTTAAATACAGGAATACCATACCCTATGTTGGGGAAATAAAGGGCTTCAAGTGGGCTTTCTCTGTGAATGAAGTATATCCTACTAACTTTTAAAACATTGTTTTAAAATAGTAATTGGGTTTTTTTTTTGAAAAATAGAACCAATTAGAGATAAATTAGAGAGAAAAATAGAACCAATAGAACCAGTACATACGTCTGTATACGAGGAGATATACTGTGAGGGATTGGTTCAGGTGATTATGGAGGCTAAGAAATCCCCCTTCTGGTTCTCCATTGAAGACTTCAGAACCAGAAGTGACAACAGTGTGAGTTCCTGTCTGAGTCCAAGTCCAAAGGCAGGAAAAGACTGATGTCCCAGCTCAAAGACAGGCAGAGTGAGAAAGAGGGGAGGAGGGTCAGAGAAGAGAGGGGAAATTTTTTCTTATTCTGCCTTTTCTGTTTAGGCCTTCAGTGTATTGGGTGAGGCCCACCTTACACTAGGGAGAGTGGCCTGTTTTACTCAGTCTGCTGATGCAAAGGTTAATCTCATCCAGAAAACCCACCCCCACTGAACACATCCCTCCTAGCCAAGATAATATTAACTCTCCCTTTCCCATTCACACCCCCCCCACTCTAGGTGCTCATAGTCTCTGTGGAGAAAATTATCTTCATAGTGTTGTGTCTGAGACATTGGAAAAATGTTCAATTATATCTAATACATTCTATTT